TGGTGCCTCCTGGCAAGGGCCAGTCATATTGCCTCATTCCCTAATTTTGCTTTAAATTGTGGGTTCCTTTGTGTTCTGGACACTGAGAGGCTACAGTGGCACCAGGACTGAGGGCACAGCTGAGTGGTGCCATGAGTTGGATTAAGATATAACGTTCAAACACTGCCAGTTCCTGGCACCATAAGGTTCTAAGACGCAGTGTTAAATATAGCTGTTCCTAATAAATTTGTGTCTCGGCGGGGAGCCAAAGGCGCCCAGAATTGGCAACCTAGATTTTGTTTTCTTACACGGCTTGTTGGGTTGGAAACACACTGTGATGTGCGTGGCAAACTCAATTGTGATGCGCCAGGCAGGATGGTCTTATCACAGCCAGAGCCCTTCCTGACTGCCAGAGCCCTCCCTGACATCCAAAACCCTTCCTCATGGCCAGAGCCCTCCCTGACATCCAGTGCCCTTCTCAACAGCCAGAGCCCTTCCTCCTGGCCAGAGTCTTCCCTGACACCCAGAGCTCATCCCCACACCTGGATCCCTTCCCCAGACCATGGCTGAAGTGAACCCTCCGTTCCTCAGCTGAGCTGGGTGGGTTGTGTTGTGAGTGCACAGATTCTGCCTGCCTGGTCCTGCTTGTTTGTCCAAAACATGATGAAATAAAGATGCTTCTGGGAATTACACAGTTTCACTGCTCTGGCACAGCTTGCCAAGGGAATGTGAATCACACACTTCAGTGCTGGAGAACTCCTTGTTTAGCATGAGCTTGACTGTCTCCTTAAATCCAATCCTAAACTGACTGGCTAAGCTGGTGTATTCCGTGTTACCCCAAAAAAAGCAACTCCATGTGTGAATCAGCCTGAGTAACAAGATGACTAAAACTGCTTTCTTTTATGGAGAGTTGTCAGAGAAGGGTGTCAGCAAACATAGCAGTTGCTGCTTTCCTCCGTTGAGGAGGAATCCAGGGTCCTTGGCTTTGCTCCCTACCAGTCTTCCTGCAGGAGAATGCTTTGTAGGGGTTCTTAATTTTAATTACTGTTAATAATCACAGCTTTTGTGGTAACAGTATCTGGTTGTTGTTTGAGCTTCATCACACCTGTGACTGAATGTGGTTCCTGCTGCGAGGTGCTGTACTGAGATTTGATTATGGCCAGCAGGAGTGAGATGAGCTCCTGTGGGAGAGGAGGAGTGCTGGGCATGAGGAGTGTTGCATCCCGTCTCATGGTGCCCTGGGCTGGTGCCATATGGGTGTTGCTGCTGCTCAGTGGGTCCCAGAAGAATTTATTCATGGAAAGGGTGGTCAGTCTTTGGAAGGGGCTGCCCAGGGAGGTGATGGAGTCTCCAGTCCCTGGAGGTGTCCAAGGAATGACTCAACGTGGCACTCAGTGCTCTGGTCTGGTTGATAAGGTGGGGATCAGTCACAGGTTGGACTTGATGGTCTTGGAGGTCTTTTCCAGCCTCAAGGGTTCTGTGATATCTCACTTTCCCTTTTAGGATGCCAGGACCCTTGAGAAGGCGGGTCTGGTTCCCTGTGGCCTTCTGGGAATGCACTTCAGGGGTTTGGTGCCCATTGAGCTCTGTGTTCCCTCGCTGCGACATCTGAAAGTCCCTCTCAGTAGCTGGGAGCCCAGTGCTGTAAACACCCAAGTGCCCAGCTGTAAATCTGGCCCAAATCTGTAAATCTGACCTCTGCCCTCTCTGCTGCCCTGCCAGGAACGCCTCCACGGCCGTGTACGCCTGCCGGAACCCCGTCCAGGAAACCTATTTCCAGCAGCTGGGTGCTCCGCTCCGCAACTCGGGCGTCCCCAACCCGCACGACAGTGCCTTCAGCCTGCCCAGCAAGGCCAAGCAGAAGCTGCTGAAGCACGGGGTGAACCTGCTGTGAGCTGGTGTGCTCACACAACGTGTCTCAGCCCCTGCTGAATGTTCATCTCCAGTAAGGAAAATCTCAGCCATTTATCCCGTCAGAGGCACGAGGCTCTGTCCTGCCTCTGTGGGGTCTCCAGCCTGCCTGGCCCTGAAAAGGGGGCACTTGTTGCCCTGTCCTGCAGCTCATCTGGGGCTGGGGCAGGTGTTACTGACATTAGCACTTACCAAAGACTGAAGACAGAACACAGCCATGTTGGGGCACTTGGTTTACATGGACTCTGGGCCTGTTCTTGGTGCTCTGCAGACTCCCCGCGTGCCTCGTCTTCTTCTGAGCTACACAGACTCTGGACTGTGCTGGCTTTGAGAGATGTCAGTCAAACACTGTGCCTGCACTTGCCCTGGTTAGACTTGGGCTTTATTTATATCTCTTAATCCATAGGAATGAGCCCTGCCATGATGTAGTGCCTTACCTTGATTAGCAGAGCCTGCCTGTTCTCAGACTGGAGAAGTGCTGCAGAACTCATAAACCTCCTCTGAGTGCTGCCAGGAGGCTTTTATGTTGCAGGTGACTCTGGGAGGTTCTTGTTCCTCCACGCCTGCCTGGTCAGTGATGGTGCAGCCCAGCACTGCCCACACCTGGACCCTGTGGCCTCACAGGGCCCTGTGATGGTGGTGGTGGTGTGAGTGTCCTTCTCCCTCCCTCCCTCCTGCTGCAGGACCTTGTTTTGCTGTTCTTGCTGCTCCGTTTTCCCATGCTCTGTTGACCCTGAAACTGCCCCTTAAGCTGGTGGGACCAAAGAGGATTTGTAGCCCCTCAGCAACTGTTCCCTTCCTGCTCTGACAGTGTGTCCCCTCTCAGTGGTGGCTGGGGGGGTCTGTGGTGATGGCTGCTTAGACCTGAGAGATGGATACCTGTGTTTGGCTGGGCTTGGAAACCTGCTGCTGGTACATACACACACCCCCCTACCACAGTGTGACTGTGGAAATAAAAAGAGAGTCTCCAAGGCTCATTCTAGCACTGTGTCAGCAGCCAGAGTCACGTTGGTTGTCATGTTTGTGGTTCCTGATGTGATGGTTTGGGTTGGGTGAGCTGTTCCCCCCGGTTAGCTCTGTGCCAAGGGTAGTTCCTGCACTGGTTGTGGTTGAACAGGCAGCGCCTGTTGGTTCAGTCATTCCTGCAAAGAAACTTCTCTGGAAGATTCCTGAAGATAGATGCATTACTGGTGTTACTTAGAGATGGTGAGAGCGACATAAACATGGTGAGATGGTGAGCAGCCCCGTGTCAGCATCAGAGCTGGACATGGTGAAGTCACCATGGTCACAGCTCGTGGTTCCACTCCAGCACAGTCAGTTCCCAAGGCCTCTGCCATTGCAGGGCTGCTCTGCAGACCTTGCTGGGAATTTCAGAGGACTCCAGAGGACAAGCCAGCTGCTTGCTCAGGGGTGGCTGGGCATGGATTGCCACCTGACTGCCAGCCCTGGCAGCTGAGGAGGTGTTTCAGCAGGACCAGGGCCATGTGGCACTGCTGCTGTCCTGGGCACGATGGCAGGGAAGCTGCTCTGCACAGAAGGAGTCTGTTGGCAGCACAGGAGTGAAAGCTCACTGGGAAGCCTGAGCTGGAGCCATCCTGGTGACCTCCTGTTTCAGTGACATCCATGTGGAAGGCAGCACAAGGTAAGGTGCTGCTTCCCTGCGTGACTTCCCTGTACACTTCCCTTGAGTGATGGCCAAGCTGCTCTGGTTCTGGAGCAAAGCACAGGGAGGCATCGCGTGGGCGGGAGAAGGCAGGAGGGGCGGTGTCCTCCAGCCTCTTCGGTGCTCTGGGCTCCCTGCCAGGCTGAGCCAAGCGGCCCCTCTGGTAGATGCTGCTCTGCCTGTCCCCTCTACACACTCAACAGATCCGGGTTCCCTCTGCAATTCCCAGGAGCTGAGGAAGCCTCGGAATGCTGGGAGCAGCGAGCCGGCGGGCAGGGCTGCCAGGCAGCTCCAGCCTGGTTTGCTCGCTGGGGAGATCTGGCTGGCTCCTGCCTGGGCGTTTTCAGAAGTGGTTGTGTGCTCTATCAGGAAACACGAAGAAGTTGAGGGAAAATCCTGAGAGGGACAGGAGGGAGATTTGGCACAGCAGCAAGACACAAAATAGATGAATGCTCTCGCCTGCTGCCGTCGGGGATCTCCTGCTGCAATCTGCTGAGCCGTCTGCCGGCGGGGGAACAGCTGGGGTGGCTCGTTTCCGTGGCTGCTCGGGCTGCATCTGGTCACCCAGACCTCTCTGCCTGAGCTGGCTGGGAGGTAAGTTGTCTGGGCAGCACATGGAGAGCTTCCAGCCCTCGGCGCGATGGCTGCGCTGGAGAGGTTTAAAAATGGGGCATTTGGAGCACAAGGGGATGAGGAGCAGCTGCTGCAGCTGGGTCTGTCTGAGTGCCACCAGCGAGGCCCAGGGGCTCGTGGAGACCGATTCCTGCCCTGCCAAGCTGGCTCTGTGCTACTGTTTTCAGGCAGTAGGATGGGAGTTAAGCAGCACCCTCTGCCCTGGAGCTGCTCCTGGGGAGCTGCCACCTTTGATGCGTCAGCGCAGGCAGCTGGAAGCAATTCCCAAAATGGTTTGTTTGCGGATGCTCTGGCAAGACTGGTGGCTGCTGCGAGTTTTGGGGAGCTGTGTGGCTGCAGTTGCTTCTGGGAATGACTGGGGAAAGTCTCTGCTGCCCTAGGCCAGGCAGCGCTGCCATAACCATAGCTGTGCCCATACCACGCCATAGCTATGGGTGAGGCAGGGAGGTATTCCCTGTTCTCCTTGGCAGCCTGGGGTCGACTGACATCACAGAATCCCAGAATAGTTTGGGTTGGAAAGGACCCCAAATATCCAGTTCCAACCCCCTGCCATGGGCAGGGATTTACCCACTCGACCAGGTTGCTCAGGGCAAAATCCATGGGGACAGAGGTTTCACGGGGTTGGGTATTTTAAAGCACTGCCTTCACTCACCATATGCCTGGCAAACAGCCCCATACCCCCTCCCACCCTGCAGCTCCTGCTCTTCCAGCACGTCCTCCCCACCAGCAGCTGGCTGAGCTGCTGCGATAAGCAGGACCCAACCTCTCAGGGTTTGCTTGACCCTGAACTGATTAGAGCAGCAGGCAGAGCCCCTTCTGTTTTCAGCACAACTGTTTATTGATACTCTTTGCTTATCCACTTATGAATGTTACCCACTGTCGGACAGAGCCAACCTGCTTCCCTAGGGCCTGCGGCCAGGTAGCCAATGCGTGTAGAAATCATGCACTTCAGATAGTCTGTAACAAGACAGGTGTAAAAAATATCTCATATGTATTTGAAATCTCTGCCTTATCTCGCAATCAAATCACTGAGAAGTCTGTAAAGAAGTTGTAGGGGGATGGGGCTGTGTTCCCTCCCGGGCAGGGCACGGAGCCAAGCAGTCCCCAGCAAGGACAGTGGTGAGCAGCCACTGGCACGCTGTGCTTCACATGTAGGATGTCATAAACTGTCCCCCAAACAGACCCTGGACGCTGGGTGCCTTCAGAAAAAGCAGGTGGTCGCTGGGTAGGCACGACCCCAGGGTGGGGGGCTCATTCCTCAGGCTGCAGTGTTAACCCATCTGCCTTGGGAACCTTTCCTTTGGAGTCAGGTCCGTGTAAGCTGCTGTTGTGTGCACCTGCCCTGGCTCGAGGAAAGGAGAAGATGGAACAGCAGAAGGAATGGTGACCTCCCAGGAGGAATGGTGACCTCCTTTCCTCCTATGGACACACAAAAGCCCAACTCTGTGTTCCCAAACAGCATCCCTGCCCCTGCAGGGCTTCGCAGCTGGAGCTGTGAAAACTGAAGGTTGCGGATAGAGCAAGGAAGGGATTTGGGCGATTGATAATGCCCTCGGTCAGACTGAAGAGCAGGGCTGTGTGTGCTATCCCCTGGCAGGGTGGATGTTGGGGCACCCCTGGGCTCGCTGCCGTGCTTGGCTGGGGGTACCTGCAGCTCGAGGCAGTGGGCTCTGCTCCCTTTTTGGGTGACAAAAGGAGTTTCTGAAGACAGGAGGGCTGGGGCCCCAGGGCTGGCAGATGGGGGAGGAAGCAGAAGCCCCTGGGTTCATGGTGGGAGGGCTCTTTATGGGCAGAGCTGTGCCCTGCCCACCCCATCAGCCTCAGCCAGAGTAGCCCCTGCCTGGGGAGGAGCACCATGCCCACTGCAGCCCCCACTGTCCATCTGTCCATCTGTCCCAGACTGCAGCCAGGCAGGGCAGACTGAGCGCTGTGCTGGGCTGGTTGGCTGTTATGGGGGTGTGTGTGTGTGTGTTGTTCCTTTGATGACCACGAGAAATTTTACATTACATTCAAACGAACACCCTTGGGTTTGTTACTCTACTTCTGAACACTGCAAAACACAGTAGCAACAGAACACGTAGGAGCGTGGGGGGCAGCGAGCCACGGCGGGGGCGAGAAAAGAATCCCTGAAGCCAACGATGGAGGAAAGAGATGGGCGCTGATACACGTCACAGTTTCCATTTACAAGAGCCCCCGGGAGGGAGGACCGAGGCCGTGTGCTGGGAGGAAGGTTCCAGTGCGGCCCCGGAGCTGTGGAGGGACCGAGCCGGCACAGCCGCCCACCCACGGCTGCCCCGAGCCCACCAGGCTGGGCAGCACCATCATCGTCCCGGCGCGAAGATGAAGTCGAGGGCTTGGCGCTCAGCGGCCGCCACGTTGGGGTGCCACAGGTCCACCATGAAGACCACGCGGGGACCGTCCTCCGGGGCACCTGGGTGGGATGGAAGCGCAGGGTGAGCATAGGGAGGCACCTGCCCAGTGTAACCCTGGTAAACACCTGTGTACTGGGAGCCCAGTGCCTCCAGTAGCTGGCATGGGGCAGGGTTCCCCCCTGCCCAGGCTCCAGAGTTGCTTTGGGCACCCAGAGGATTCCCTTGTCAGGATCAAGGCAGGATGCTGCACTCGCCCTCCTTGCAGCTGCACCTTGTATCTGTGCAGGGAGCAGCTCCTGCACCATTCCAGCCTTCCTGGCCCTGCAACCCTGCACAGAGCTGCACTTCCCAGTTCCACAGCCAGGTTAGGTGGAAGCAACAGCTTTTGTTCTTCCACTCTCTCCACAGGCTCCCCTGCGTAGAACAGCTCTGCTTGATGCTTTTATGTCATGGGCGACTAATGCCGGTTAATCCGGGAGAGCTGAAGTGGAACAGCCTCTGTCAGCGATGGAGGGAGGAACAATCCAGGCGGCAGTGAGGCTGTTCCCCCTGCACAGGAGACAGAGGCGCCGCTGTCACGTCAGCACCGAGCCGCTCCTGCAACAGGGTGGCTGCAGCGGCAGCGCGAGGGCCAGAGGATGCCGAGGCTGCGCCATCGCAGCCTGAGCTGCCCTGCACAGCTCGGCAACAAAAGAAGCCTTTCCAAGCTGGCTGCCACGGCAGGGAGAGGACCTCCGGGAAGGGAGAGGGCCACCAGGCCCCATGCAGGGCTGGCAGTGCTGTGGCAGCACCACAAGCTGGGAGCGAGCCCTGGGCAGGCTGTGGGGGGCTCTAGGGCTCTGTCAGGAAAGGGGCACTGGATGCCCTGAGGCAGAGGGAGCATTTTTATGGGTGAATGCTCGGTGCCAGGGCCGGGGCTGCTGCCACGTGGTGCAAGCCAAGGGCAGCGGCAGTCCAAGCCTACTGGTAGGCAGGTGCTGCAGTCCTGCTGTGGCAGGAGAAGGAACTGGACACAGGTGTCCTTGCCCACCCATTCCTCCCTGGCCCCTGGCACCAGAGGGGACACTGCAAGGCTGCACACATTGAACCTGCGCTCACCTTCGTGGAACGCCGTGTGCAGGAAGGAATCGTCGAAGAGCAGGCACCGGCCCTCAGCCCAGCACTGGGGCTCACCCCCCACCACCAACTCGCAGTTGCTGGGTGTCTTCAGACCTTCAGGCACAAAGAGAGAGAACAGGGAGGGTCAGGTGATTCTGTGTTCCCTGTGACAGGGCGGCAGTGACGAACAGCAAGCCCCACATGGGCCCCACGTGAGCTCCATGTGAGCCCCACACTGCTGCCAAGGGGTTGCTTCCCTCCAGGGAGCAACCTGAACCCCAAGCCTGGTGCAGTTCACTCCCTGCTGTCCCCAGTGAGCTCAGCACCGCAGGCACTTGCTTTTGTATCTGGAACAGCTTCCAGTCCCTGGAGCCCAGGACCCCGGGGTGTGTGCAGGGAACCAGGCTCCTGGGAGGTTTTCCAGCTTCAGGACCAGCTCTGCTGTGCTGACCCTGCCCAGGGCAAGGCTGGGAAAGCAGGAACTGCTGCACTGGGACTGGGAAATGGGCTCAATTCTGCCTCTGGCACAAGCTGCCCATGGACCTCGCATCGCTCAGCACCTGCCCCATTCCTCAGTCCCCACCCAAGGTGCTGCTACAGGGGGACCCACCGGGCTGCAAGGACAGAAATCCAGGGGCGTCACAAAACTCCTCTAAAGAAGCAGCTCTGCGAGGGTCACAGGAAGAAGGATAATTATAGAAATAAAATGGGTCTTTTTGTATGATAACCCCCAAGCCAGACCAGTTTGACAAGGGTTGATCCCATCACCACCTGCATCAGGACTGTCACCCCCCGCAGTGCTGGGGACACTGGAGCTGCTGCAGAGCCAACCTGCCCTGAGGATGCAGCTGTGGCAGAGAAAGGGGTCAGGGCTCACGTGGCTCCCAAACGGTAACGATGCAGCAAACGAGCAGAACGGATCCGAGAGTGATGCCAAAACTGAGCACAGCAGGGACTCCCAGCTGCCCGGCAGAGCTGGGAGCACAAAGCTGCTGTTTCAAAGCCTGCAAAACCCAAAGCCATTTCCCTGCACAACAGCCTCAGCTGGAGAGCCTGGAAAGGGGGAGCGGAACCACTGGGGGATGCGGGGAGGAGGCAGCAGCAGCCTGCAGCCCTTCCATTGCACCTGCACCCCGGGGATACTGCCCTGGCCTAGGGAGGGGCAGAGCTGGTGCCCGGGCCTGGGGGTTGGAGTAAATCCTTGAGAGCGACTTGGCCATGCTAATGGCTGCACTGGATTTGCAGAGCAAGCTGCCTAAAAGGGCAGGTTATCTACAATAATCTTGGGCACAGTGAGAGCTGTGTCCCCTGCACTGAGGTGGGGGTGTCCTGGGACACCCAGGTGTCCCTGGCACTGTGCGGTGTCCTGGTAGAAGGAGAAGAGAACAACCTGCACTGCCCATCTGTCCAGGGCATGTGTGCTCCAGCTGTGCTCACCTGAGCCAACCTGGGCCTCACCAGCCCCCTCCTATGCACCGCTCCCAGCCCCTCATGAGGGGAGCACATCCCTGAGCAACCCAGAGAAAAGCGTCAGTGATGGGCTCCCTCCTGGAACCAGCAAGGGCAGGTCCCAGTTGCCCAGCAGCTCCTGGGATCAAGTCTGAAAATGATTCCCATTCCAAACAAATGGCCAGCACTGCCTGGGTGTGTTTACCCAAGTTGTTGGCTGAACAGGCGTGCTCGGTATTTGCCAGCCAGCCCGTGCGGTGCCTCCCCCGGCACAATCAGTGCCGCTGCCAGCCCGGCCATCTGTGCCGTGTGGGCTCTCCCTGTCCCAGTGTCCGCAGAGCAGGGAGCACTGTGCCACCAACTCAGTGGCTGGCCCACCAGAGGGGACCCCCCAGGACCTCCCAGCCATCATTTGCATCTTTGCAAACCCCAAAGCAGCATCTTTGCTTCCATCCACCTGTGTCCCGTGAAGAACACCTGAGATCCCAGGAGAGGGGAGCTGCCAGCGGCACAACACAGTCCCTGGAGCAGCACCCCAGATTGAGCCACATCCTGGGATGGGAGGGGGGCCTGCGTGAAGAGTGAAGGGCATTTGGAGACCCCAGTTTAAAATCGGCCCTGTATCTTGCACTGGCAGGAGTACACAGCCCTGGGTTGGTGTGAGGAGGAGGTGAAATCCTATTGCTGCTGAGCTGCAGACCCTGGAGATATCAGATACCCAGGGACTGAGTATCAGCCTCTCCTGAGTAGGCTGCTGCCACAAAAGCCCTAAAAACATCCCTCATGCCAAAGCAGAGGAGGTGCCTAAGCCCCCCGGGCTGCAATTGGCAGTTGAACCCCAAGACCACTGAGGGCCATAGGCCTTTTTGGAGCTCCTGCTCCCAGACACTGCTTCAGCCACCGGCACCGCCCCCAGAGAACATGAGCCACGGTGCTGGGCACTCACCGAGGTGGCAGCGGATGCGGATGTTGGTGGGTCCGTAGTGCTCGGCGATGACGGTGCCCGGGCTCAGCACGGAGATGCACGCGTTCCCAAAGACATTGTTCCCAATGCAGGTGCGGAGGCTCCCGAGCAAGCGGTACGTCCGTGGGCATCTCCGGCAGTTCCTGGGCACGCACATGCCCTGGTTCACCAGGTAGAAGGTGAACCACTCCCCGCTGGGCGTGCTGTTCATTTTCCATCCTTGCGGGAGGCTGCAGTTTGAGAACGCTTTGTAGAGGGTCTCAAACTCGCACAGGATGGTCTGGAAGTTGCGCTCCAGCAACTCCACGTCGTGCTTTTGAGCGTCCCGGGAGAAATAGGGCGTGGTGGGCAAGTCGGGCAGGAAGAAGACTTCTGGCTTCTGGATGGAGGGCCGGCTGTTGAGGTAGCGGCCCTGCTCGCGGATGCCCTTGTGGATCCTGCCCATGCCGGACCAGGAGTAGCGCTTGGCATACTCCTGCAGGTTGTGGTAGAGTTTCTGGTTGAGCCCGTCGTGGTGGGTGCAGCGCACGCACTCGGGCGAGTGGCAGTACACGTACCCGTTCTGCACCCCGTTGGCCTCCGCGCTCTGCATCAGCGCGTTGACGGTGGCGTAGGCGCGGGGCTGCTCCCGCCCCACGTGGTAGCAGTACCACACAAAGAGGACCAGGAAGCAGGCGACGGCGGCCAGGGCCGTGGCGTCGCAGTCCCGGAAAGACTGGATGCCAGTGGCGATGAAATCCCGGAGTCCGTCCAGGGACCAGCTCCAGCCCATCAGCCACTCCAGAGACATGGTGGTGCCGCAGTGGGTGGGTGCACGCAGCGGGGCCTGGTGGTCAGTCCTCGTGGGCCTCAGGGGCACCCACACCATGCAGCTGGGCCGGGGTGCAGTGGGAACGGGCTGCCATGGGGAAGTGGAGTGGTGGCTCTCTCCTGCACTCCTGGGAGCTCTGCATTGATGGCAGCAGCCGGCAGCACCGGGGGAGGGGGGTGGCCAGGCTGCCTGAGAGTCCCAGTGCTGTGTCAGCACCAATGTGCCCAAAGGGTGCCCACCAGTGCCCCTGGCCTGATCATCTTGAAAGGATCCTCTGGAGGGCAGATCTGGGGGAGAAAAACCCAGAAGCGTTAGGAAGGGAGCTGCCCATTGGAGTCCCTGCGGGGGTCAGTGCAAGGGGCACAGACAGGGTCATGCGCTGGGACTGTGCAGAACACCAACTTCTCTGCAAGGGGATGGTGGGTGAGGAGTTCTCTTCCCTGTCCAGGAGCCCAACATTATCGCAGGCCAAGAACACCCCACACCCCTTCCAACAGGATCTTCCACAAATATACAAATGGAAGACAGCAGGGAGACCCAGACCCCACCTGCACTAGCCCAGGGACCATCTCTCTTCCTGCTCTTCTTCCCATTTCTCTCCTAAGTTGCTGTCTTATCATCTCTGAAATCTGACTGATAAGGGAATAGACACTTCACAGCCCTATCTGGCAGCACATCAGCTTATCCCCTCCATCTAACCACTCTGAAGTGAGTTTCCCTTCAGAGACTGTGAGCTGTGTGAGAGCCCAGCACTCAGCCAGACTGGCAAGGTCACATAGCCACAGTGGCATGTCAGGATGGTGGCAACAGGGGTAGGTTGGGGTTGGCTTATTTGATTTCACTGGCTTATCTGTGAGAGCACTTACTCTAAGGAGCAGGATGCATTTATGAGCCAGGGAAGTCATCCAAACCCTTCCCAGCCCTCCCTACCAAGGTCCTGCATCCTCTACACATGCATTTCCTTATCAGTGGGAAGGGGAATGGGCTGCAGGAAGGACCTGACCCTGCAGCTGGGACCTTGTGCAGAGTTGGGGACATGGATTCAGGCAGTTACACCCCAGGGAGGGACATCCACACAGCCAACCTCCCTCCACCCTACTTCCCTGTAGCACATTGCCTGCGTGCTCTGTCCCAGGATCTGCAATCCACGTGGTACGTCACAGCCTCCTGGGAATCCTAAGATAACTTTCCTCCATCCCCACAGCTGGCAAGACTCCAGACACACTCGTTTCTCTCGCCTAGGCCTTGGCTCCCAGGGTGCAACCACAGCGTTGGTCCCAGGGGTGTCCCCCAAAGCCAGCACAACCCTTGTGCTCCCTGCAGGGCCAGAGTGTGCCAGAAAAGTCAGCAGAGCCCTGATGTGATCTGTATTCAGAGTGACTCTCACCCTGCCAGGCAAGCAGGGAGCCACCCCAGCATAGCAGCCAGGCTCGGTCAGACTGACAACATGAGAGCATGGCTGGCAGAGCTGGGGGTCCTACAGTCTCAGGGTCCCCAGGCCACAGTCACACCCTGTGAGGGCAGCACAGCACAAACACAGCCCCACTGCTGCTGTCAGCACCTCAAAGGGGGAAAGTCAGGGGCAAACCATCAGAGCAGCAAGAGATTAAAGCCCCCATGCCCATGTGCTGCCTGCCCAGCCCCAGAGCCTGGCAGCCTGGGAGCCTCGGGCTGCAGAGCCCTGGTCTCCTCTGGGCAGAGACTTTGTGGGATCCATCCCAGGAGCTGTCTCCTGTGCTGTCACAGACACCCCACTGCAAAGCTGCCCAAACCCACATCCACAGGGGCTGTGGTGACGGTGGAGCAGGGCCCCAAACACCGGCACCACTCCCAGCGGACACTGCATGGCCAGGACCTGCCCGGGGCACCCAGTGGGTGCTGTCACCTTCCAGCCACAGCTCTGCAATTAGACGAGTGGTCGCATCCAGCACCCCTGGCCTGAGATCCCAGAAAAGGCTCCTCAGCTAATGATACCAGCAGAGCCCTTCCAGGGAGAGGAGATCAATTCCACGTTGCACCGAAGTTGTGCAGGACGTGGAGGCGAGCACCGTGCCAGCAGCAGCTGTGTTACATAAGGAAGGCAGAGGCTTCGATGCAGCACAAAGTTGCATCTTGGTGGCTCCGTGGTGGCCCTGGCATCTCCTGGAGGCAACGGGTTCCGCTCAGCCTGGCTGGGATCCCCAGGCCGTGGGCCCGCGGTGACGGGGACGCATGGCAGGGATGTCCTCAGCTCGGCACGGCCGGCATCGCCTTTGGGAGCAGCACGAGGAGCAGAAGCATTGGGGTGAGGTGAGGTGCCCACTGTCACTCCGGAGCCGTGGGTGCTCCCTTCACCCTCTCCTCCAGCATGCCACCCCAGCGATGTCACCAGTGTGACAGTGTCACCTGCACGCTGCTCTCACCCCGTGTGACGGTGTCACCCAGCGTGGCAGCGTCAGTGAGTGTCACCAGTGTGGCTGCATCACCCGGCGTGGCGGTGGCACTGCCGTGCTGGTGTCACACCACCCGGCGTGGAGGTGGCACCTGCCGCCGCGCTGTCACCCGGCACGGCCGTGTCGCCCTCCCGACGCCGAGCCCCTGCCCCGGCCGGGGGGCTCGGGATGCGCCCCACGCCGCGGGATCCGCTCCCGCGCCGCTCGCCCGCGGCCCCCCCGCGATGCGATGCGATGCGATGCGGTGCGGTGCGATGCGATGCGGTACCGACCTGCTGCCCGCGCCGGGCCGTGCGGGGCCGCGCTCCGCTCCGCGCCGCTCCGCGCCGCTCCTCTCTTCCTGCCGCCGCCGCCGCGGACCACAACTCCCAGCAGCCCGGGCAGGAGGGGCCGCACCGCCCCCGCCGGGACCGCGCCGGGCGGCAGCTGCGGCCCCGGCCCCGGCACCGCCCGCCCGCCCCCGCGCCCGCCCCTCGCCGCGGCCTCGGGGCGGCGCGTCCGCCCCGCACCGCGCTCCCGCACCGCGCAGGCGGGAGGGGCGGGGGAGCCGCGGGGTTGCGGCACTCGGGAGGGGTCCCAGGGGGTGGAGCGGCGGGGATGGTCCCCGAGGGAGTGCCCATCCCGGCGGCGGGAACGCCGGGACACCGGGATGCGGGGGGTGGGCTGCAGCGGCGGGGGAGCAGGAGGTGTGGGGGCACCGGGGTGTGCAGGGGACGCGCAGGGACTCTGGTTTCGAGGATTGAGGCACTGGGGTTTGCAGCAGTCAGAGTGCAGAGGATGGTGGCCCCGGGGATGGTGGTCCCAGGGGTGGGAGCACGCGGGGATGCAGGCACCCAAGGGACGGGATACTGATTCCAGGGACACAGGCTATGAGGGATGCAGCAGTTGGGATGTGCAGGATGCTGGCTCCAGCGATGCAGGCACCCAAGGATGCAGGGACCAGGGAGTACTGGCTCCAGAGATTCAGGCCCCTGGGGCTGCAGCCCCGGAGACAGAGGTTGCTGGTCCCCAAGGATGAGTGCATCTGGCATGCAGGGGACAGGAGCTCCTGGGGAGGCAATGCTTAGGATGCAGGCAGCCAGGGAATACCTCAGCGAGGATGTGAGGAATGTGCTGTGGCCCCTGGGATGGGGAGAAGCTGTTCCCAGGCTAGGATGTCCCTTAACAACTCTGAAGTGCTGGTGGAGAAACAGTTTGTTGTGAGCCTTCCTGCTTCCTTTTTTTCCTCCCCAACCCATTTCCTGTTGATTTCAGCCATTGCTGTCAGATCTGAGGGCCCCAGGGGTCTCAGTGCTCCGGCCCTCCCTCCTCCATTCCCCTGGTGCCAGGTAAGGTGCTGACCTGAGCTGCCTGCGGGCAGAGCTGGGTGCAGGCAGAGCACACTGCCCTGGCCTCTGGCAGTGCCACGTGTAGCTGCGTGGGACACGTGTCACTGCTCCTGGCACCAGGAAAGCCCTGCCTTGTTTTGCAGGTTTGGCCATCCAGTGCCTGCACATCCTCCCCTAGCACAACTCGAGCTGGGCTCTTGAAGTGGGACTAGAACTTCCCTACTCAGCCCCTCAGGTGTGTGTGTGCTTCCTCTGAGCAACCTCTTCCCTTGCTGTTGCAGACCTAAACTGCTCCTTGTTTTCTGTCCTGGTTCATTTTTGCCTCCTACCTGCTCCTGCTGCTTCCCCATGCTCCCACCAGCACATTCCCCACTCCAGTTTGCTGCTGCAGGGTCCTGGCAGCGTTGTGTGTTGCAGGATGAAAGGAGCGGGACTTTATTCCATCCTACTCCTTCCCAGACCCCCAGCCTCAGCCAGCAGCTCCTGCTCCTGGCAGACAACACATCCTTCTGTCAGCAGTCGCAGGCTCCGCAGGTCTGGGCCCTCTCTTGTTCTTTCACTCCTCCCTCTGTCTTCTGCTCCCTGTCCCTGCTGGCCCCAACCAGGCCCTGGTCCCCAGTTCTGCCACTCAACACTTCCCTGCGGGACAACCTGCCCCTGGCTTTCTTCTGAGGCTCCAAGAGAGCTGGAGAGGGACTTTGGACAAGGGCCTGGAGTAACAGACAAGAGGGAATGACTTTAAACTGTAAATAGGTTTTGATTGGATATTGCTAAGAAATTCTTCCCTGTGATCATGGTGAGGCCCTGGCACAGGTTGCCCAGAGGAGCTGTGGCTTCCCCATCCCTGGAAGTGTTCAGGGCCAGGTTGGATGGGGCTTGAAGTAACATGGTCTAGTGGAAGGTGTTCCTGCCTGTGGCAGGGGGTGGATATGGATGATCTTTAAAGGTCATTTCCAACCAAAACATTCCATGATTCTGTGATTCCTCGGCACAGGGAGTGCCCCTCCAGGAGCACTCTCCCACCTCCAGCCGAAACGCTCCAGGAAATCCCAACCCTGGCAGAACACAGGCGCAGTTTTGGCAGCAGCTGAGGGGAGGACACGGGCAGTGTCTGCCCCAGGAGGACATCTCGTGAAAAGGGAGAAGGAACCACTGGAGCCAGGAGGCTGCCTGCAGACTGGGTTCCTGCCAGGGCGTCGCTGGCAGAAGTGTGCCAAGGGCATCCCAGGGCTTTTCCCAGCTCTTCTGGGCTAGGCAGGGATGCTGTGCCCCAGCTGGGCTGGTCAAGGATGCTGTGCCTCCCCCAGACTGGGCAGGGATTCTGTGCCTCCTCCAGAGAGGTCAGGGATGCTATGCCTCCCCCAGAGCGGGCAGGGATGCTGTGCCTCACCACCATGTGATGCAGCTGGAAAGGAGTTGAGGGGTCCCTGCAGCTCCATCCCCTGAGCTCAGGGGTCCCTCAGCCACGTGGTTGCCATGGCACAGGCACGCTGTGTCCTCTGCTTGGCCCCATGCAGGTCGGGAGGTGAGTTGTATCTGAGGCTGCTGCGCCCAGACAAAGCTTCATCTGCAGCACAACGCGTGAGGCCAGAGATTGGCTCTGGCTTTACGTCACCGGGGAGGAACGGCAGCATCAAGGGTTTGGGTTTTTTTTTGCCTTCACTTTAATTCTCTTGCAATCTCTGTCCAAAAATAGCCCGAGCTCCTTCCCCCAGGAATGCTCTGCATCAGAGCTTTGGCTCCCTCACCCCCTGTGCATTAGCCTGGCAGCTGCTAAGCAAAGCCATTATCGATGTCACAGCATAAAAAGACCTTGTTTAAAAGCACATTTGGAGAGGGTAGGGTTGTTGCATTGTTTTGTGTAGGGAGGTGCAGGGATGGACAGAAGGCCCCAGGATTCCTTGGACAGGTGGTGGACACCCTGGGAAAGAGCATTTCTCTGAGCACTGGGTGGGCTGAGCATCCCACTCCCTTCCCACCTCCAGGGACACCTGGAACTCTGCAGACATCAGGATACACTGTTTCAGCTGGGGTGTCCCAGTGGCCCTGCTCCTTGGCGAGGTGACAGCCACCCGTCTGCCACCACGCTCCTGAGCAGGACCGTGCTCAGGGGGTCCCACAGCCACCTGGGGTCCCCCTGCAGGACCCTGCCCTACCCACATCTGATGCTGGGGAGAAACCTCCTGGGCGTTTGTCTCTGCAGCCACCAGAGTAGCTCAGCCAGGAGAGGGTCCCAGGGAGCAGCAGGGGGACTTTTCCCACCTAGCCCTGGGATCTTCCCCGAGCCATGCCTGTGGGATGCAGCTGGTGTGGAGCTGTACGGAGGGGCAGGCCAAGCAGTGCCCCCTGTCCCACCATGTTTTCCCTGTGCTTTTGGAAAGGTGTCCTGCCCCAGCCATAGGAGCTGCCAGGTGACAGCCATGGATTGTTGGGCAGCTGATGGGTGAGCAGGGCACCCTGAGGATGGGTCTCCACGTACCCCCTGCCTGGAGGGAATGGGCTAACAGGGCTCCCCCAAACCTTCTGCACATCCTCTGTAACAGGGCCACAGGTCTTCAGCAGGGTCCCAAGTGCCTTGGGGCAAGACCCAGACCCCCACCCACTTTGTGAGACATCACTGGGCTGGGCTGGCACAGGAAGGGGCAATGCTGAGTTCAGAAGGTGCAGGGGACGCCAGCGCTGGCTCCTGCAGGGTGTTCCAGGCGGGAGATATCCCGAGGGTTGTGCCAGCTCACTCCGTGTCCCAGCAGGGCTTGGTTGCCTCCATCCCACAGGAGCAGGGAACATTGTGGGGCTGCACCAGGGCAGGATCTGGCACTCAGAGCCAAGCCAGTGGTATCAGGCCACCATTTCACAGCGGGCCATGCGGCATGCCCGGACCTCGTTCCCCCCTGCACCGCTGCAGCCTGCAGCCTCAGTCTCTGCAAACTGATTTCAGACATTTAAAAACACAGAGCAATTGGTATCGAGGTTATACTGAATGCTAGAGCTTCCCACGGAACTACTTTATCATGTTCAAAAATATTTAATCCCAGCAATTTTCACATTGTTCTTATAAAAACAGACATGTATGAAGGGAAATGAAATGCTTCGTACATTTTTGGCACATTTTTTTTCTTTTTTTTTTCCTCTTTTTTTTTTTTTTTTTAACCTTTACAAATTACAAACACACATTCGTTGTATTTAAAGGAAAAACCCCAAATCCCAGCTGTACACTGCAGAGCTGCACTACCACCCCAAGCTAACCCAGCCTCCCGTGGTTGTGATTATTCTACAAGGACAAAAGAAGGACACTGGCAGCTGAGGATGTGGTGGTGGCCTTGCTGCCCTCCCCAGGGGCTGGCTGGGGGCTGTGGCATTGGGGGGCATGGGGACAGGCTGTCCTTTTGGGGTCTGTGTCCCTGCAGACAGGGTGGCCCTGGCTGGGTGATGGAGGAGCACAGGGCATGCCAAGGGTGGAACTGGGGTTCAGGATCAGCTCTGAGGGGCGGTTCTCCTCCCCACGAGCTGGTCTACTGTGTCAGAGCCCCCATGCATCCCATCTGCCTTCCATCCCCAATATACCTCCATCTTCATCCCCTGCCCCTCTCCATCTCCTGCCCAGCTGTGAGACCCAGCCAGGTGCTGATCTGGGTGGGATGTGCTTCTCCAGCTCTGGACGCCAGGGTCAGCTGTGGACCCTCCTGCAGTGGAAGGAGCGGTGACAGGGAGCCCAGCCCATCCTGCTTACCCTGAGATGCTGCTGGGGGGGCAAGGGGTGGCCTCAGGCCATTACCGGGTCGGGGTGTTCCTGGCAGGGTGACTGGAGGTGCTGCTGGAGAGGAACAACTGGTGTGAGCAGAGAGGCACTGGCTGCAGAGCTCTGCTCGCTGCAGGGTGGCTTCCAGGGCTGCCCACCCTGTTGGACTGGCAACCTGGGGTCACTGCTTGGTGCTTCTCTGCAGAGCATCGCTCCGTGAGTCCTGGCTCGCTGCCTCTCCACATCCAACGCAAAGTGGGACAAGAACGCAGCATGTGCCTCACGAGTGCCAGGCTGTCCCGGCTCCCTGGACGACAGCTTTCCTGAGCCCTGCAGCAAGGATGATCCCTGCACCGGTGCCACCCGAGCCCCTGGGTGAGGGTCCTACTTGGGGAGCTGGGAGCTGCAGGATGGGACCCTGCAGGGGACCCTGCACTACCTCAGCTCCCAGCAATCAACCGCAGGCTCTTGCAATGGAGACATCTTTAATTTTTAACAACACCAGAACTGCAAAAATCCCCCTGCGTGTGTGGGCAGTGCCAGGGGACACTCCGCCATGAAGGGGGACACAGCAGGTGCCCCCGTGCCCCCCTGGCCTCACCAGGACCCAGCTCTGCCCCGGCTCCCGCTGCTGCCTGTGCCCAGGGCTTGGCAGCACACCTATCGCAGTTTAAATAGAATAAATACAGTGAAGAAAACAGTAAAATCTTCAATAAAGAGGCAAAAGGAAAGACAACAGCAGGTCCGGGGGTCCAACCAAACTCCACGTGGTCTCTGGATTAGTTACTGAGGAAGTTCTATGAGAGCACATTAAGTTCGCAGCCGGAGACTCTCTTACCACTGTCCTTATATTGAAACCTCGTATTCTCGTGTTTCCTGAAAGGAAGGAAAAGCCAGTTGAGGGCAGCAGCTGCATTTCAAGATCATCTCCCCATTCCCAGACTGCAAGAAAGATCCTGGGTATTGTTTTGTCCTCAAGGGAGTGATGCCCTCCCAGTCAGGACCCTGCACCCTCTGCACCTCCCACCCAGCTCCTAGTGAGTGACCACCACGGACAAATTCCTCCCCTGATACTCAGCACTCCCACAGCAGTGTGGCTGGACTCATCCTATGGCTGCCCACCCAGCCCAACCCCTCAGGAGGGTCCCTAGGGAGGACAGGTGCAGAAGGACTCACCCCTGTCTCATAAATCGGGTTGTCGAACTCTGTTTCTACCGTGATCTGGCTGTAGGGGTGGGAGTACATGAGGGGCAGGCGGAGGCTGGAATAGTACCGACACCTACAGGAGATGCTAGAGTCACTGGGCTGCAAGGACCAACCCCAGAACAGAACAGGAACAGCCCCATTTCCCAATTCCCCCATCCCAGCTCCCCACCAGCACCCCAAAGCACTCCCAAGGACCGTGCCCAGCGTGTGCAGCTGGCAAGGGCATGGCAATGTTGAGCCAGCCCTGTCCGTGTCCCCCCTGCTCTGTGATGGTCCCCACCCCAACTGTACCCCCACCTTGTGAGATAGATGTACGCTCCTCCCAGCAGCAGGGAGATGATCAGCACAGGGATGAATATGGCCAAGGCCATATTTCCACCCTCAAGCGATGTCTCTGCAGCAGCTTCTGCTACTGAAAGGACAAGATCTATTATGTTGGCATTTGCAGGCACCGCATGATCCCCTCTCTGCCTCTCCCCCTCCTCCCAGACTCCACCAGGCTCTGGATCAGGGCCCTGCACATCCAGCAAACCCGCATCACTCACCTTCCAGAGCATGTTCAAAGCTGTCTTGGTTCACTGGAAGAGAAATGGAGAATTACTGGTATGTAGCTGGGTTTGTCTGGGCACTGGCAGTGGTTGGCTGCTGGGGAGCCCAGACTCAGGGTCTCCTACCCTGTTTGGTCACAAATCACACTGTGAGCTCCCAGATTTTAACAGCTTTTTGTGCCTGTAAGTGCGTGGCCAGGACTGAGCAGGCTGGGTCAAGCAGAGCTCACTCAGCCCAAAGCCAGAGAAACTCCAGGTCTCAGCTGAGTTCAGCTCCCAGCCAGAGACCTGCCAAGGTCTGCAGCCAAACCAAGGGTTGTCCCTGGGCTGTCCCAGGCTGGGGACAGAGGCATGAGCTATCCCCAAGTCCCCCAGCCCCCCCGTATTACCTTTGCAGATGGGTAGGGGTCCGCTCCAGTGGGACGGCTGGCCCAGGATGCATTTGATGGTTACCTCCCCCATGAGTTCAAAGCCCTCATAGCACATGAAGGTCAGGGACTCTCCTGGCAGGTAGAGGCGCTTATAAAGAATCTGGTACCCATTTTCTGGCAGTCCTGGATTATCACAGGCCAGTGACTCCTCAGCTGAAAGGGAATGAAACACACCCGGGGTTAGCTCAGGGCTTAGGCTACTGAGGGAGAAAAGGATCCCAGAGGGCAGTGGGAAGTACCTGGTGTCCCACCCCATCCTGCTTCCAGGTAGCTCAAAATTCTGTACCACCCCCCTACTGGGAAAGGTCCCAGCTTCAGGGAAGGACTCCCTGGGGCCCCCAAAGAGGAACTGAACTTCAGGAGAGCAGGAGAGACAACCCAAACTTACAGACACAGTGCGGGAGCCGTGAGGTCCAGATGGGCGTCCCAGTCTCGCGGCTGTAGCAGGTGAGCAGAGAGCTGCCCTCCAGCACGAAGCCGGGGTTACAGGTGTACTGGATGGTGGTGCCCACCAGCAGCACAGGGTCGGAGATGAGGCGGGTCGAGTGCTCCACCTCCCCTGGGTCCGTGCAGTACATAACTGGGGAGAAGAGGATGGTGAGCACGGAGTCCTGTCCTAGCAGGGAGCCCCGGCACGGTAGCAGGACCAGCACCATTACAGGGGTGTGGGATGGGAACAGCAGCACCTTTCTGGGGCACTTACTCTTTTCACAGAAGGGGGGGTCGCTGCTCCAGCTGAGGTCCCACTGGCAGGTGAGGGTGTCGCTCCCCACGATGTCGTAGCCCGGGTCACACTGGTAGGTGATCTTGGCTCCTCTCACCAGCTCCGTGTGCGACGTGGTCTTCCAGCCGTTCTGGATCTCGGGCAGGTCAGAGCAGGAGTCGTTGCGAGACACCTCTGCAGCCAAGAGAGATTCTGGCTGTCACTCACCGAGTGAGACCCCATGGCACTGCCCTCTTTGGAGCCACCACACCTGGGCTCATGGCCCAAGTGCACCAAAGCTCTCCAGCCCCACAGCTGGCACAGCCACAACTGGCAGCTGGTCTGCAGGCTCCATCCTCTGGGCACAGGGAAGGGGCAGCAGTGGGCGATGTGGGCTCTTTGAAAGCGCCCCAGCCCTGTCCCTACCAGCAGGCAAAGGGCTCAGATGGGGCAGTACCTGTGATGGGGTCAGGACAACCTGGGAACACCAGGCTCAGTGCTGGCTGCAGGTGCAGGGGCAGTGCAGGTACCCTGGTCATGGCATGGTTGGTTTGTTCAGGTGAGGGGTCTGTGTCCTGCCCTCCCCTTGCCCTGTGCCCATGGCTGAGCTGGTCCCTGTGTGCTGCAGAGCACCAAGGAGGGACCTGCAGCCTCACAGGTGCTCTGCATTGCAGTTTGCTCTGTTTGTTGTAGCCAGGGCTGTCAGCAGTGCAAGGAAAACACGCTTGGAAGGAGTCTGGCAGGGGAAGGCAGGTGGGGGAGAGGAAGCCAGCAAGGCCACAGGCAGCTGTGGGGAAGGAGTGCCCTCCCCAGTACTTATCCCCTGTGTGGGCACCCCCCTACCCAGTCTGGCAGACAGGGCTGTCCCAAAGGACGAGTGGAACAGATGTCTCCAGGTGCAGTCTGAGCCACTCTGGAGCAAGGAGCTGGGAGCTGTGAACATCCATCTCAGAAGCCCACCCAGGGACTGGCTTCAGTGACCTCCCCTGCCATCAGCTTATACCTGACAGGGGGTGTGTGGGGATCCTGCACACCAATTTCCAGCAATTTCTTTCCCTCTGGGCATGACCAAGGCTAACAGGAACCAAAAATGCCACTGCCTTGTTGCCAGCCTGGAGCAGGGAGGCACACAGGGACACCCCAGAACTGGCTGACCCAGAGACCTGCAGCTGTGCTGGGGGTTCTGCAGGAGGTTGGTGGGATGTGGAATGCTGGTGTCACAGCCATTTTTCCCTCTTCCAGACTCAGCACCTGGACAGCCTGGGCTGGCTGTGTGTCACATCCTCACCTTCACGGCAAGGGCAGGGGACACACCAGCCCCCCTGCTCTCCGTACCTACGTAGTTCATGATGAATCCCTGCCCCTTCCCGAAGATGAGCCCGGCAGGGTCCGAGTGGAACTGGATGGTGAGGTCAGGGCTGGAGGAGTAGAGCTTCTGGGGGCCACTGCTGCCAACGTACTGCCCCAGGATGCGGGCAGTGAGCTCGTCCCCGTCATAGATGGTGAGGATGTCGCTGTTGGTGATGTTCAGGCTGAGAGGAGAGTTTGGTTAGAGAGCAGGGCAAGGAACCCAGACAAGATGCAATGGTGTAGGGCTCAAAGGGCAGCGAGGTGACCACTTGCCCCAGCACTGCAGTGCAGCAAGCATGCCCTGTGTCTCATCAGTGTCTTGTCCCATCCCCTTCCCTCTCTTGTCCCTTCCCTGTCCATGTCCTGTCCCTTTCCATCCCCATCCTATCCCCATCCTGTACCTGTCCCCATTCCCATACCTGTCGCATCCCCATCCTGTCCTGTCCCTATCCCACTCCCTCTCCCCTCCCCAGGCAGTCTGGGCAGCGCTGTGGCACCGTCCCATCCCCGCCTGTCTCCGAGCCGCAGCCCCACGGCTCCCTCCGCCCTCCGGGTGTGGCTCCGGGTGGGTCGAGGTCTGGGCGCTGACGGCGGCTCCCGGGGCAGCTCATCCCTGCCCGTGGAAGCGCCAGTCCCGGCGGCGCCGCGCTCGTCCCCGCGGCCAGCAGAGCGCAGTGGCGGCCCGCGGATGGCGGGGACTGCCGGGGAACAGCGGGCAGCGCCGGCCCCAGCCTCCATCCACCCCGGCTGCGGCGGGAATGCGGCTGCCCTGGAGCCGAAGAGGATGGGGAGGGCTCGCCCTCTCGCCCTGCTGCCAGGCCAAGGGCAGGAGATGGATGCACATCCCGGGGGACACATAGCTCTGGTGCCAGCGCTGCTGCCAGGCGGCTTCTCTGGCTGAACGGATCACATCAACCCCAAGGGTGGGCACTGACACCCCCTTCCCTGCTCGCTGTCCTGCCGAGTCCGCATCCCAGCAAGGCTCCCCGGCGCTGGAAGCACAGCCGGCACCAGCAGTGGGGGCACAGCCGTCACCAGCGCTTTGCTGCTGGGTGGCACAGAAGAGGCTGGGGCACGGACACTCCATCCTCCCCTTTCCAAGGGCAGGAGAAGGTCAAGGGAGAGCAGCAGGGTGCTCCTGGCCCCACAGGAGATTCCTGAGCTGATACCCAAACGTTTTATTAGGAATGTTCTTGGAAGCAGCCCAGCTAATCCCCATGGCAAGCTGACATTTGTAGTAAATCTCTGCTTTCTGTCAAACACGATTTTCTCAGTGACATTTATGTCTGATGATTTCAAATCACTTGGCCTCCAGTTCTGCTCAGCCCAAGCACCCACAGAGCAGGGAGAGGTGCTCTGGGAGCTCTGACTTGGGATTTTATGGGAAGCTTTAAAATCTTTATGATTCTAAGCCTCTACTTAAAACATGTCCTCCTCTTGAAAACCCAAAATAGCATCAAAGGAGACTCCCTCTACAGAGGCAGCATTACCATGCCAAGGGCTCCCAGCCTGGCATTGGATCACTGTTCCCTGCTGATCCTGGCATGTTCAACCCATGCCTGAGCTTGCTGGGTGGCTCCACTCCCTTAATGCCTATATTTCACATTCAGCCCAAAGATTCCACTGTTTGCAGCTCATGGATGCCTCCAGGTTCTCCTAACCCCATATAACCCAGCTCTTGCTGGTGCTGTGTGTCACCCCAGGTGGCACATGGCCACATGTTGCTGTGGCATCACTCTGTGTGGCAAGTTCTGAAGCCATTAGAGGAGCAATAAACTGCTGCAATGGGTGGTGTCACAGCACTTTGAACTCAGGGAGCAGCACTCAGTCCTGCCCACAGTGCCAAGTGCAACACCAGGGATTAGGGAAGCTCTGGAGGGGAGAACAGGAACATGAACAGGAGCATGAACAGGAACTCTTCCCTGTGAGGGTGGTGAGGCCCTGGCACAGGTTGCCCAGAGAAGCTGTGGCTGCCCCACCCATGGAAGTGTCCAAGGCCAGGTTGGACGGGGCTTGAAGGAACCTGGGATAGTGGAAGGTGTCCCTGCCCATGGCAAGGAATGAGATGAGCATTAAAATCCTCTCCAACTCAAACCATTATGGGATTCAATGATTCCACGATGGTGCAGAGCCCTGCGGCAAGAGGAATGGGATACTGCAGCAAAGTGGGCTTTGCTCTGTTTGGGCAGAGACAGATACTGAGGTCCTGGGCTACTCACAGCTGGATGTCCAGGAAGAGTCGCTTCTCCTCACCCACGTGGATCCTCCAGATGCAGTCCTCCCCTTCTGCATAGGGCTCCGGCCAGTTGGGGGACAGGATCACCCCAGCCACAGCAGTCAGTTCCCCTCCACAAGTGGCTGAGGGAGCAAGAGGTGGTCAGGTCTCAGCAGGGTCACAGAGGTGTCCATTCCCACTGCCCAGTACTGCCCGTGACGCAGGAACTGACCTCGGCACAGCGGCTCCGTGTCATTCCAGTACGGGTCCCGCATGTTGACGCACTCAATGACGGCAGGGCCCTGCTCCAGGGAGTGCCCGGGATCACAGGTGAACTCCACAGTGGTGCCCAGGTTGTAGGTGGGGTCGGAGGTGGTGAAGTTCCCGTTCTGGATGTAGGGCTCGTAGCAGTGACCCCGCTCAAAGGCTGGAAGAGAAGTCCTGTTAGCCATAGGGACATGGAGCTTCTTCCCTCTGGGGGTCCACTGGGTAAGCCCCAGGCTCTGCTACTGTCCCCAGCCAGGAAACAACCCCTGCATGCCCACATTTATGGACAGCCTCTTCCACGGTGTGTTTTACACAATTAGGATTAACAACAATTTGTCTGCCCTGAGCCATGCAGGTTTATTCAAACGCCACTCCTGATGTATCAGCATCAGGGACATGCTCATGGCACTGCCAGGCACTGTGTTTGCTGAGCCATCCACCCTGGGATTACTCAGTATTACTGAGCCTGCTCAGGGGCACAGGACTCCCATGGGAATGATCCTCCAGTGGGATCCATTTAAATGACTGGAGCAAAGCTGTGTGAGCTGTCAGAGCTGGTCCTGCACCCTGTCCCTGAAGGAGATGGATTCAGAGAATGGCAGATGGGGAAATGGGAAGACAGCCCTGTCCTGGCTACAGGAGACATGTCTGATGAACACAGCTCACCAACAAGCCCGCCAGAGGAAATTCCATTTCACTACTTCTTTCCCTATTTTTTTCCTAGACAAATATATTACCCAAAGCTCCTCCAGCACCCATGAGGTTTAGGTCACCCTGTGTGCCCACACTGACACAGGGACAGTGGCACAGGGGAGCATCATGTCTGCTGGTGCCAGCATCAGCTGAGACCCTTCCTACCCTCCCTTCCCTCCCCCCAGGGCACCACGATGAGGACACATCACCTTCAAAGCGGATGTTGAAAGCCGTGGCGGCCACAGGCTCCTCTGCGAGGAATTCGATCCTGATGGAGGAGCCCTCGCTGATCACCCCCTCGAAGGGCACGCTGTCCGCACGCAGGGAGTCGTAGAGCACAGCAGACTGGTTGGTGTCCCCGCTGTACACCACCATCCTGCACGGCAGGGCACAGCACATTACGTGGGACAGGAGTCCTTGTGTCCCACCCAGCCCCAGGAGGTCTGAGGTAGGGGAGCTGGTAACTTCCAGCCCTGGGTTGAATGCTCACCTGTCCTTCTCGGTCAGCAGGAGCTTCTCGAAGTGCAGGTGCAGCTTCTGCCCCGGGGGTGCCCCGATGGCCCACACGCAGTACATGCTGCTGGACTGGTTCCCAGTGTAGCTGGGTGACAGGACACGGCCGATGGTGGCATTGTGGACCGTCCCGCCGCAGGGAGCTGCCAGAACAGAGCACAGCCACACTGGGATGGGCAGGCAGACAGGGCAGAGCAAAAGGGATGGGGGTGTTTGTGCCCCCACAGCCCACGGATGAGCCCCTCTGCTGGCACCTGCCCCGCTCTCCTCAGTCCCTAATGCAGAAACCTCTTGGCTGGCTTGGCTTTGCTCTATCTGTACATATTTATACTCACACATATATACTCACACATACACATAAAATCTATTATTTTCTGTTCCTTTCCTGCCTAATGAGGGGATAGATTCTGCTGTCACTGCCCGGTCAGCAGCAGTACCTCAGGCTGCTCTGTGTGCAGAGCCAGGCATCACTCTCATCCTCTCCCAGGACCTCTCTCAACCCATGGCACAAAGACAGGGACTACTTTTTTCTTTGTGGACCCCAGTTTTCCTTAGCCCTGAGGATGTGCAGCGTACCTGAGCAGATGGGCTCGGGGCTGCTCCAGTGAGGCCGGGATGCATTGATGCACGTCAGCACCCGGGGACCCTGCAGCTCGTAGCCCAGGTGACAGTGGAAGTGAGCAATTCCACCCGAGTGCAAATCCATCACAGTGACATCTCCAAACTCAGGTCTCCGTGGGAAGTTGCAGCTCAGCATAAACACTGGAACAAGCACACACGTTTGGAGTTTAGGGCTCGTCTGCTCCCAGCCACCCCACAGGGGGGTGAATGTGGGGACATGCTGGATGTCCCCACATGTCACAGACAGACCTGGCTGCCAGGTGCCAACCCCCTGCTCTGCTGCTTCCCCACCTGTTAGTGCTCTTGCCCAGACCCAGTTTCTATTTTAAAAATAATTTGCTTGAACTCATTTATTTTTTACAGCTCTTCGAGGTAAAAAATAGACTTACAGTGTGAGTGTGTGTAGGAAGAGCTGCTGCACAGGGACAGAAGCAGGGCAAGGCAAGTGTGAAAAGCACAGCCAGTGCTAGGGTTGAGGACATCAGAGCACGCTGAACCCTCTGCTCTGGGCACACCACCTTCACCACCCCATGCTCTGAGCATGGGCAGGCGGTGCAACAGGAGCCCAGCTGGTCTCTGGGGGCAGAGCCTGCAGCCCGGTGGGACTGACCCTCATCCCACCCCTACCCACGTCAGGGAGACACCCACCCTGATAGTGGAGCTGGAAGGTCCCCACCACCTCGTCCTGGAAGGTGCGGAAGTAGACGGAGATGGTGTTGGTGGGGCTGCGGATCACCTGGCCCTCCACCAGCAGGGTCTGGTTGGCCAGGACCACCAGGGCATCGCCGTCCACGCCACGGATGGAAAGCACCTCCCCGTCCGACAGGTTCACGCTCTTCACCTGCGAGGGAGCAGAGACCTGTGAGCTGCGGGAGTCCCAGAGGGGTTCCAGGTGAGGGCTCACATCCCAGCCCTGGGCACACAGTGCCAACAGAGTGCTGCACAAGCACAGCCCTCCCTCTGTTCGGTGCTCACCATCCACCCCGTGCACCGGGAATCCTCCCCAGGCTCCCTCACCCCACCGAGTGGGGGGAGTGGATGGGGAGTCACACAGCAAGTGCATCTTCTAATGAGTAGTCCCAAAAGCCTTTAATTATTATTTGAAAATAGCTGAGCAGTAACCTCACATTTGCATTTCATGTCCATTTAGCTTAATAAATGGGCTCGTATTTCAGCAGAAAGATGCTCATCAGATCGTTTGTTTCCTTAAGTGTGCGAGCCCAGGGCTCTATATTTAGCACCCAGCCCAGCCCGTGATTGCAAGCGCTCCCGGCGATGTTGTGACTGAAGGGATTGGTGGCTGTTGTCACCACCGTGCCACCTCCCCCTGGCCTGCAAGGTGAGACACAGCCACTGGCACTACATGGACCCACACACAGCCCTTGGCATCCTCTGCTCTTCTGCTGGGAGGAGGGAGATTTCCTCAGGAGAAACCACTCCAGTGCCCTGCCTGATCTGAAGGAAAATCCCTGGAAAAAATCTGATCTTTGTTGTGGGGCTGGACTGAGCACCCTCAGGCTGGGTCAGAGTATGCCTGGGTTCAGCCCAGCCCATATTTTAATCCAGGAGGAGCTGATTTTGCCTTATTTTGCAGCAGGGTGGTGGGTCCTGGCAGGAAAAAGCATCATCAGAAACATGGGATCAGGGCAGCTCCGGCCCCCAACCTGGCCCAGGTCATCCCTTCTCCTCCAAGTTTTGTCCCAAAAACGTGCCTCCTCATCACAGCTGGCACACACTGCAGCTCGTAGGTGGTTCAGATCTAATTATTAATAAATGGAATGAAGTGTTATTTGTGATTAATTATTTGGAACACAGGATCCAGGGATGCTGAGTGGGCTCCATACAATGCTAACTTCTTCTGCCAGCTCCTACCAGGACAGAGTTTTGCTTCCCCAGCTGGGTCTGAATCCCTGCAAAGATGTTCCCAAGGTGTTTCTAACACATTTTGTTCTGAAATCCCTCCAGCCAAACCTGCTCCCCAGCTGGCTCCCTCTGGTGATGATGGCATCATGCACACTATGCAGAGCCAAATCACTCCAGGAAATTGGGAAGGGAAGCATTCAGGAGTACCACTGGAGCAGCTCTGCCCTGGGAATGGGATTCAGGAGAGCAGCAGGAGCAGGCAGAGCTCTGTGGAAGGGAGGAAGCTGAGGAACACTGCTGGGTTCACACACACACACACACCCCACCACTCGACTCTGCCAGCACCCTTCTCTCCAGTAAACCCAGACTCAGAGCAGCCCAGAGCTGGGTGTCACTGCTAATGTCACATGCCATCCCCTGTGCCAGCACCAGGCTGGCATCCTCAGAGGAGTCCAGAGTAACCAGCGAGCCCAAATGATGCAGTGGCCTCACACCAGGGACCGTCAGCGCTGAGAGAGGGACCATATGTGTGAGCTCCTGCCAGGGGCTGGGAGCACAAGTTCTAACTTTAATCCATATCTGCACCAATGTCAGCTCCTCCAGAGCCTGTTGGGAAGGCAGGAGGGATCCTCAAGTCAGGCTGCCAGCCTTGCTCACCCACTAGAAAACCTCTTTAGGGAAATTCTATTTCCTGCCAAGAAGATTCAAGAATTTTAAAACTAAATATAATTTCACGAAGCATTTGGAGACCTGGCTGCTCCCAGCTCTCAGGGCTGCCATGGCACAGCCTGGCTGGCACAGGGACAGGCAGGGGCACAGCTGTCCCTGAGTTGCTGTGAGGGATGTGAGTGGTTGCTGGCAGGGAGCTAACTAGGGACCCCAAGCTCTCGCACATCCCTCCATGTTCAGCCTCCAGCAGGACCTTCTGAGACACTGCACCACTTGTGACTGAGGTAGGCACCAGCCCAGGCTCCACACAGAGCCCATCCACCCCAGTTCCCCAGGTCACCCCACCACAGAGCAACACAGCACCTGCTCCAGAGCTCCCAGCCCAGCCTAGCTTCTCCAAATCCTTCATCCCTAAGCAGCTCTGGCCTCCAGAGCTCCCAGTTCAGCCCATCCATGTGAAGAAAGGAATCCCCTTGGGATTATTCCTTCATCACACCATCCTGACAGGAAGGCTCAGCCCCTTCCTAAACCAATAAGGACTCCATCCCAACTCCAGGAGCTGTGAATTAAATCCGAACCTCTCCAAAGGTACCAATTACCCACATCACAAGGGGCAGCTGGGGAAGCCTCACTGCATTATCCAGCACCTACCAGATGGAATTCACCTCAGAGGCCCCGGAACTCACAGCCCAGCTGTGGCCGGGCAGCTCAGGGCACTGCCCAGCTGCAGATGAGGCCACGCTCTGCCAGCACGGACCTGCTGTTATGATTTAATTTGTCTGAAATGCTCAGGAGCAGCAACAAAGGGAAATGCAAAGCTTGGGGGGTGTAGAGGCTAATTTTATGCTCCATTAAAACCTTGGCTCACAACAGAGCGAGGTCAGGAGTGGTGTCACCTGATGGATTATGGGCAGAGGCGAATTTACAGCAGAGCAGCCTGTCTTTAGCACCCTGCAGGTCTGGGGAGACAGTTACTGCCATGGAAAAGTGTCTGAGATGCTCAGACACCCCAGTGCTCACCCTGTGCTGTCACCACTGCCCCCCTTCTGGGACTGGTGGCCACCTTGCCATCGTGCCCTGGGGACCAGCCCCAGTGTGTGCCCACTTGAAGGGGACAACCCCAGTGGAACCCCTGCTCCTTCTAATGCACATTCTTAATTACACAGATTAAAAGTTAATGGATGCTAATTGGATGTAAACAGTGGCATGGGGAGAATGCAAGAAGAAAGGACTGAATGCCAGAGTATGGGGACCCTGGGCTGGTTTGACCTGGAGAGTGTTTGGAATGTGTTGAGGCCCCTGCCCTGCTCCCAGCCTTACCAGTCTGAGGGGTGCTGTATTTTAGGGAGAGCTGATGGAGCACATCAACCTAGTGAGAATCCCCCACACTGATGGGAGGGCACAGAGTGAGCACCTGCACTGGCTGGAGAGGGAACCTGGGCTGCCCATCCTGCTGCCTCAGGGATTCCTGTACCCACGGGGGCCACCCACACCCTTCCCAGCAGGAAAGGGGATGCAGGAACCAGGGGACTGGTGTTCTTCCCACCAAACCCAAGAGCCTTTTTAGCAAACTGCTTGCCAGTGCCTCGTTGTTAAATTAATTGTGTGACATTTAAGTGGTTTGATCATCGCTGACATTCAGGGTGTACCAGCTCCCTCATGGAGTTTGTTTATTAGAGGCGTAAGAAAAATCTATTTTTTTCCCTGGGAAGGTTTATTTTAGCAAGTGCAGGTGACCAGGGCAGCGATGCCCAAGGCTGTGGGTACCTTGCACCATTTGCTGCTGTGAACACGGGGGTCTGGCCGTGGGAATCCCCAAACCAAAGCTCTTCTCACCTGGAGCTCGACGCCATAGCCCGTGTAGACGGTGACATTGTAGGTGCACTGCAGGTACCCGTGCAGGGGCAGTGGGGGGTAGTCTGTGGAGTCGATGTAGCCCTCGGGGTCGTGGAAGCTCATGCTGCACAGGACTGGGGGAACACACGTCAGCAATCACACCGAGGGACGGTCACCCGGCAGCTCCCTCCCGCACCCCAAAACCCAGCACCCAGGTCCCTTCTCCGTCAGCTGACCCCACTGAATCATAGAATCATGGAAGGGTTTGGGTTGGAAGGGACCTTGAAGATCATTCAGTCCCACCTCCTGCATGGGCAGAGAAAGCTTCCTGTAGCCCAGGTTGCTCCAAGCCCTGTCCAACCTGGCCTGGAACACTTCCAGGGATGGGGCAGCCACGGCTTCTCTGGGCAACCTGTGCCAGGGCCTCACCACCCACACAGGGAAGAATTCCTTCCCAACATTCCATCTCACCCTGCTCTAAGTCAGTGGGAAGCCATTCTCCCTTGTGTCACATCAGGCCCTTGTCCAAAGTCCCTCTCCAGTGCCCTTTAGGAACTGGAAGGGGTCTCTAAGGTCTCCCCAGACCCTTCTCTTTTCCAGGCTGAACAACCCCAACTCTCCCAGCCTTTTCCCATAGGAGAGGTGCTCCAGCCCTCTGAGCACCAAGATTTTAGGCAGCCCCCCAAACCCAGGTGGTGTCCTGGTTTTGGGGGCTGCCTAAACACAGGCCTGCTCCCCATCAGCTGCCGTACCCCTGTGCCTGTGCTCTGGCAGCTCAGCTTACCTGGGGTGGGCTCCGTGGTGGTGACAGTGGTGGTGATGATGGTAGATGTGGTGGTTTCTTGGCTCTCCTCTGATGCAGAGCTGTGCAGGTCTCTCTCCGCGTTGTTTATTGGGATAATGCTGTCACTGTTGGGAGCCATGGTTGGAACCTCCCCAGCATCACCTGTGCTGTCTGGGAAGGGCCGAGGCAGAGCTGGTGGCAGGGTGGATGGGGAGATTTGCAGCGTGGGATGGCTGGTGGTGGCCTGGTCCCCCCAGGGCAGCTCGGGGGGGCTCTGCTCTGTGTCCTCTGCTGGCACTCGTGGATCTTGGGCAGTGGCAGGGAGCCGGGAGCGCAGAGTGACTGGATGGGGAGGCAGTCCCAGGGGGCCCTGCCAGAGTGGGCTTGAGCCTTGGGTGCTTTCTTCCTGTATTTACTTGTTTTAGAGTTGGTGGCTTTTTCTTAACAGGGACAGGTTTTTTTGCATCAGTGCTGGGGGCCGTGGTGGCTGTTGGCAGGACATGGCTCTGCATGAGCAACGTTGTCTCCTCTGCTGCTGGCTTGGCACCCTCCTCCGTGGCTGGCAGCAGGTTGAGGGCAGTGGCATGTCCCAGCGCCTCAGCTCCTCCATCTGAACCCATGGCATGCCCAAAATCCTCAGCTCCACCAGCCAAACCTGTGCCATGCTTGAACTCTGCAGCTCCACCGACCGTCTTGTCCACCAGCTCATCTGCAGCAAGAGGGTCTGGGCTGGCAGGGACCAGCGCCGCCCCTGATCCACTGTCTGAAAAAAAAACAGGCAAAAGTGAGAATTGGGCAAGCCTGGGCATGAAGTTATAACTGTGCAGCTGGTGTGAAATCAGTCCCCTGGAAAGCTGTGGCCGAAGAAACACCTGTTGCTCTCCCAAAGAAGGAATTACTGGTCCCCACAGCACAACCCAAGCCTTGGCAGAGCCCCCTTAGGCACCCCTTGTGTTGGGCAAACCCAGCTCAACCTGTGGGATGCCCAGGAAAGAGCAAGTGACCAAAGCCACCCAGTACTGCCCTGGCCAGGGGACAACTGTATAAATACAGATTTATCCACCACATGTGAGGTGTCCGGGCTGTGGTCTGTGTGATGAAATACAGGGTGATCTTTGTGAGATACTGCAAAGAGCTCCAAGAGCCAGAGAGTCAAAGCTTTCCATGGAAACAGCAGTTGCCAGGGAAAGCACTTAATGCACGGTACTTAAAGACCATAATTCCAGCTCCCTCAGCTCCTTTGGGAGGGTCTGGAGCCCCAAAATGCAGGATCACTGCCCTTGCTTGGGCATGAGGGGTCTGCAAGCTCCCAGCCCCACTGCTGGCTGCCCAGGAACGTGCTGCCCTTCACGGCTTCACACAAAGGCATCGACCTGCTCCCTAAAGCAGCTTGAGCTGCTGTGATGTGCCCATGGGGGCAGCCAGGACACATGCCCACCACAGTGCCAGTTCTCCCTCAGATGGGGGGCTGGCACAGCAGCCAGGGTTTCTTTCCCAAGCAGACTCCAGATAAACCTCCGGATCAGCCTGGACACATCACTACAGTTGGTATTACAAGTGCTTTAAACAAAACCACAATGCTTGGCCTAGACTTATCTTGGGGTTTTTGTGTTTCGATTCTAACAATTTAGGTAGGACCAGAATAAAACAGAAAAATGGAGCTCTTGGATGTGAAATCTGAAACACAGGGACACCGCTGGGTGACACTGCCCACCGGGCGTGGAGGGACGACACAAGAGCCTGTGTAGAGGGACCGAGCAACTGATGAAAACTGACTTTGCTCCATCCTCTGGAAAATTGGAGCAGTTTCTGGCAAGAGTTGAAGATAAGGAATAACAGGGAAAGGCAAAGGCTGGTGAGTTATCCTGAAGGATGGAGTCACCAAAAATTCACTGACAGTCCCTGTGCTGCTTCCTGTCCTTGGTCCTAGAGAGTCTTTGGACACACTGTCAATACCTGAGCTGGTCCTTCAGCCCTGGGACAGCCAGAGATGGAGCTGAGCCCACCCCAAGCCACTGTGTCCTGCTGCCAGCCAGTCGAGTCATGGATCCATCCACCAGCAAGCCTGTTCTGGCCCTGGAGGATTTCCTGGTCTCTCCTACTATGTTTCCCACAAGTTAAAACATTAATACTTTAATTAGCAAGTGGTTCAGCAAATCCATTAGCTGATTCCCTTAGCACATTAGAAGACATTTCACACACATCGCCTGCAACCGCCAACTGGTGTCAGCTCTGAATAATCTCCCCTGGCTCCCCCCGGGTGCCTTGGTGTTCCCACACATGCTGCTGGGAGTGGGACCTGGGAGACCCTGCAACCTCCACTCTGTTCTGATGGTCTCTGCCTCCCTCTCCATCTCACCCTGGACTGATCCTGGCCTCTGTGGGCATCCTGCCATGGGCTGATGCACATCCTGCCATGGGGAGATGGAGGGGAATCAGTCCCCAAGGCAGTGCCAGTGTCAACTCTCCTTCCCTGAGAAGTTTTGCAGAGCTTTCATGGGCTTTTGCCTTCCTGTCCCAGCTGAAGTCCAGGATGGTGGTTGCTGTCTCACAGGTCAGCTCATTGGTTTTAGTGCTCTGCAGCAAAAGGGTTTCTCCGTGATGGGAGGAGATGGGGGTTTCAGGCAGGGAGGAGGCAGCACAGCCCTGGAGGTTAGGGGACAGGACTTGCTGGCTGGTGGGATGTGGTGGGACATGGTGGGACACGGTGGGACACTGGGTGATAGTGGGACAGACAGAGCGTTCCTGCTGGATCCCAAGTCCTTAAAGCCAGGGTATTCCCAGAAACATCAAACCAGCATCCCTGGATTATTTGTCACGTGAACCCTAATGCTTAATGGATTTTGCCATTAAACCATATTTTATGCTTTTGGAAAGTTGACTAATTCCTTATTAGATCCTTTGCCAGGATGCATTTACCCGATTCTATCCTTAACAAAGCATGAAATAAAACACTCTGTAAAGCGACTCTTTAATGAGACACTGAACATGCTTCAGTTTGTAAAGGGCAAATGTGCATTCCAGGGAAGTGGAGAAGGCGGAATGAAGCCAGGCTGGAGCGGGAAGGGGGAGGCACAGGGGCTTTGGCATCAAGGATTAATATAGGCTTATTCCATGTTACAAGAAAGAGAAGTGATTAATGATCTCAGCTCCAGATTGCATCACCACCCCCAAACCCGAGCTGTGCTCCAGCACAACCCCAGGCTGCCAGACCCTGCTCCCTCCCCACCTACCTCAGAGCTGCCCCACAGCCCCCACGGCCCCAGCGCAGCCCCCTGCTCGTTCAGTCCTGCCTGGAGCCCATCTCAGGGGGCAGAACTAAGTATCCACATCCTTAAGGAAGGATTGCAGCGGGTTTCCATATTTGATATTGATCAGGGTGGGTTTTGGAAAGCCTTTTCATGATGATCTGAATGCACACAGCTGTTCTTCTGCCTCCAAGGCCCACAGAGTAAGACATGACCTGGCTCCACAGGAGGCTGGGCTGGGGCTGAGGCTGGGGCAGGACTCTCACTGGCAGCCGAAATCCATCCTGTTCTGCACAAATTATCAATCTGGAGACACTGAGCTGGTGGAACAGAAATGGTCACGTTTGACCTTGATCTAATCTGCTAAACCAGCTCTGGAGGAAATAAATGCTACTGAAATGAACAAGGGGTTTATCTTGTATCTTGATCAGGAGCTCTCTGCAGGCAGTTCAGGACTGGAAAGGCTTTTCCAAATCCATGGAAGCCTCTGTTGTGGCCCTGCAGCCCCTGCTTCCCCAGGCGTGGCACCTGTGGCTCTGTGCTCTGCAGAGCAGGGTGGCCATGGGCAGCTGCTCCTGCAGGATGGGACAGATATGTCCAGGACAGTTTGGAGCACAAGTGACCTTAATGCAAAGTGACAGCTCTTCTTCAGGTCTATTCTGGGATCTGCCTGGATACCGGCGTGTAAACACCGTGGAAGGAAGCTCGGCTCCAGGGAGGATGTCTCCAACCAGCCGCACTCCCCCGCGGTTTATACTTAGCCGTGTCGGAAGCTCTGGCTCCTCGGTGGGATGAGGGTGCCGAGCACTGTGGGAGCTGGCAGTGGGACACAGTCCTTTCCCGGGGCTGGGGTGATGGCACAGGGGTCTGGAAAGGCAGCAGGATAGGAGGGGTGGCAGTGCAAGGGCTCCCAGAACGTCTCCTCTCACCCAGACCCAGCATTGACACAGGTTCTTGCAAGGGCATCAACCCCCTGTGGGAGCCTTGAAGTTTCATCCTCATGTAAAAGGGTCCCCAGGATCCCTGCAGCCCCAGTCAGTGAGATGGGACTCTGTCCCATGGGCAGTGGTGAGCAGCATCCGCTGCTCCAGAGGTGCCGGGGCTGGAGAGCTGCAGGCAAACCTGATTGCTGAGATACCTCAGCCAGAGGGGCTTAGAGGAATTAGGGAGCTGCAAACGCCTGATAAAAGGATGCTGGAATAATCACAAAGGCCTCATTTTGCCGCTGTGCTCCTGAAAAGGCTAAACCACGAGTAGCTGTATCGTGGGCTCCCATTACTAATGCTGATGGTATCGCTGCCGCACGACGAGCACGTGCACCGCGGCTGCCGGGAATGGCAGCGGGATTGCTCGAGCTCAGGAGTCACTGTCCAGGAGGGTTTAGGATCTGACTATAGCAGAAATGGATAAAGCTTATCCAGATGCTATTAATGGTGATGTTCAGGCCTGTGCTCTGCCTGTGTGATGGGCTCAGGTGGATTGATGGGTGCTGGCCTGGGCTAATCCTGCCTGGAGCAGCTGCTGGTGTCTCATGTGAGCCCTCATGGAGAGCTGGGATTGATCCTGTACCCCTCAGCACCCCATCCAGGACTGATCCCTCATCCCCAAGAACCCAAGCCTCTGCATGCAGGCTGAACCCCCAGAATTCCCAATTCCCATACAGTTGATGAAGAAGGGTTGGCTGCCATGCACTGCAGTGGGAGGAAAGGGATCATCAGGTCGATGAGTTCATACAGGGCTTATCCAGATCTTGGACAAAAGAGGGCTGTTGGGGCCAGTCCCTGGTGCAACCCAGTGTCAGTGGGGTCTGGTGGGTGGGAAGGAGCAGCAGCACCCTGGGTACCTCCTGCTCTTCTGCCTCTTCCCACAGCAACCTCCAGCACATGCCCCTCAGGGAGGAAAACAGAGGGTTTGGGTGGGAAGTGAGGACCTGAGAAAAAGCATGTTGTGTCCATGAAAACACTCAGCTGTGACGGATCGGAAATTTTTTGGTTCAGTTTCAGATTTTAGATTTTTGCCTTGAATCTTGAAGAGCAGAAAAACCTTAATCGAAACAGTCTTTCATTTTCCAAATGTCCCCACAGCCGGAAGGAGCCTCGCTGGCTGCCTGCCTCCAGGCAGGAGATGTGAATCCCACGTTTTCCTGCAGTTACAGTTTCAGTAAATTAAGTTTTTCCAATGGAAAAAAAAAAAAAAGAAGAAAAAAAGTTTTCCTCAAGAGCATCCTGCCCATTCTCCCTGTAAGCAAATAAAGCCGTAGCAATCCGATCCGGGTGAGTCATCCCCGTGGGAGCACCGGGAAGCGCAGCCAGAACAGGGTCTGCCCGCGGCACGGTGAGTTTCGGAGCCGCTCTCCTCTTAAAGGCGACTCTGTGCCCTCAGCGAGGCAAAAGAGGGAGGGCTGGGGATGGGTTTCAGACGAGCATTTCCACTGCAGTCAGAGAAAATAGAAAGTGATTCTCCGATGTGGCATAAGGACACAGGAGCAGTGCCTGTCCCTGGGTCCTGCCTAGCA